TGTTGAAAACAGTAAAACAGTTGCAGTAACTAATCAATATTAACCAATCACTGCTCAACGCTACACCACGTTGAGACAGGCCCAAACCACCACCTGAACTAACCAGTTCCAAAAGCTAACTAGGGGTGAGACTAATCACGGTGAATCTGGTCGACCGCCCATAACCGCGGGCACGGCTATTCGAATAGTTTTACTCTGATCAGAGGTGTACAACTGTACCCACAAGACACAGCCTCACGACACGTTTCCGTGCGCCGACATGCCACCACGACATACCGGAAAGAGGCCGTGACAGGACCCTTCGCATAACCCCCTCTAACCGATCGCACCACACCTTAGGGTTCGCCCCCGTCCCCAGCAGGCAACGGGCAGCCCCCCTTTCGTGCCGCGGTGAATCCGGAAGCCGATCAACCGGACACCCCGGCCGACCCAACTCCATCACGCCCACCCTCGCCTGGGTATGTCGGCTAGAGAAAAGCTACACTACAAGCCCAGCCGTTGCCCACGCTGGCTTGTGGTAAGCACGATAAATTCTTCCAGGGTTTCCCGCGAACCGATCCTTAATCGCCATGGGCACAACTAGCAAAACCATGCACCCACAGCCCACCATGTAGTGTATTTTAATTAGCCAACACCATTACGGTGGCACTAATCCAGAGCTATTGCCAATAATCAAAGTCTATGCTTTAATGTGATTCCCTTTTTGTGTACTAATAGAACTAAGCATGGCTAAGCATTTCCTAAACCAACATCTAGTCATTTTAATACCCGAGTTAGCAATGGCATAAGGTAAACAATATATGGCTGAGTAGTAGGACCCATCCCACGTGATATTGTAAAACGATGCAATATTTAATAGAAAAGCGGGACATTTGTAAATTGGGTACAATATGATCAATTATAATGCATGACTTGCCTTGCTCTCGCACTGATGAGACCACAGCAACGTCTTCGAGAAACCGTGGATCGACGAAACGGCCGAAATCTACGCGACAAACAAAGCACACAAGCAAAACAGGCTATAAGACTACTGAAACAGGAAACAAAACCAATTTTAATGGATTCTATGCATTTTTATGAATTTACTGAGACTTGAATGGACTTAATCGGAGCTCGGATGAATTAGTTATGATTTTTAGAAGATTCTCTGTGTTTTTACTATTAAAGAAAAGCCTTAATGTATTTATTGCGCAATATTGCCCTAGGGCTGACGTCAGCAAGGGGGGTGCGGCGCCGACACGCGGGACCCGCGGGTCAGTGACTCAAGGAGAGAGAGAGAGGGAGGGGGTACTGGCAGGCGGGGCCCACCGGGCGGCGGCTCATGGGGAAGAGGTGGCACTGGCCGGGCTCAGCTCGGCTGCAAGCCGGCCGACCGGTTAGGCGAGCGGCGGCGGCGACCGGCGAGAAGATGGCGGCGGCCGGTGACGCGGGCGACGGCGCATCGTGGCGACGCGCATGCGGGGAGCAGCGGCGCGCGCGAGAGGAAGAGAAGGGGAGGGAGTTCTCACCGGGGTTCGGCCGGCGCGGGAGGAGACGACGACGAACGGCGACGGTGAGCGACCGGAGGGCGACGGCGAACGGCGGCCGAGCTCCAGGACACCCTAAGAGAGAAAATGAGAGAGGTTAGAGGGAGAGAGGGTGTCCACGCGAGTGAGATCCATGGCCGACGACGGCGGCTATGGAAGGGCTCACCGGCACGCGACGAACGGCGGGCTCCGATGGCGGAATTCGACGGAGGAGGGGTGGACGATGTAGCCCTCGGCGATGCGAACCCGAAGACGACGACGATGCGGCTCGGCGGCGGCGCTAGCGGCGGCGAGCGGCGGCCGGAGGAGTGGAAAAGGCGGCGGCAACGGGTGTAGCGGCGCGGGAGCGATAGAGGGCACGAGAGGGAGTGGTGGAAAGAGGAAAAAGGTGGAGGGGAGTGCGGGGAAGCTTTATTGGGGCTCGGGAGAGACGGACGTGGCCGGGGTGCTCCCGATTTCGCCGGCAACGTGGGAGGTGGAGAGAGAGAGAGTGGGAGGGGATTCAAAATTTGAATCCACCCCTGGTGGGCTCGCGGCGCGGGCGGGAAGGCGAGGGCGTGGGCGGCGTCGCGGCGACGTGGGCGCGGGGCGTGGAGTGGGCGCGGGAGCAGCGGGATACGTGGCGGCGTGGGCGGTGGTTTCGGCGGCGGTTGGTGCGGGCGTGGGCAGCCAGAGGTTAGGGAAAGGGCTGATAGGTGGGCCCCACCTGTCAGCACCCGAGAGGGAGAGGGAGGCCGGGTGAACTTTGGGAGTGGGAGGGAGGAGCGGGCCGGCGCGGGAAGAAATGGGCCGGCGGCCCAAGAAAAGGAAAAAGGAGGGAAAAGAAAAGATAAAAAGGAAAAAGGATTTTCCCAGGGATTTAATATTGCACTTTGCTTATTTTAATTGGTTAAAATTATTTCCAAGGCTCTGAAAATTCCACTAAAATTCCTGTTAGCATATTTTGACATGTAGAACCCAAGAAAAATTCCATATGTCGATTTCGATTATTATTTGCATTTATTAATTTGAGGAATTAGCTCTAGGTTAAATTGAACAATTTCTTCAGACGATTTATTTTACAAATTTTAAAGCTGGAAAGGGGAACTTCAGGGCGTGACAGAACGGCAGCGACGGCCGCGAAAGGACGGCGGCGGCGCACAGCGCTGCCTGCGTCGACGGGAGACAAGAGATTGGATATTATTTGGGGATTTCTCACTGTTGCTGCCTTGCTGGTTGTTACCTAGGGTTTTGCTGGGCATTTTGGTCTTTTTTGAAATTACTGACAATGTAAGAGAAAATCCCCTATGTACCCATGAAAGTTCACCTAATCCCTTATATATCCCTGAATTTTGCTCAATCCCTTACATACCCCTGAATTTTAGTTTGGATTCCTTCCATGCCCTTTCCGCTAGTTGACCGTTAAATTCTTTTGAAAAGGTCCATTTTGCCCTTTGCTATGAAGAAACATAATAAATTAATGAAGCATATTATTGGAATGTAAAAATTTGTTGGATGAGACTATTATATTTATGAGTATGTGATGCACCATATTATTTGTGACAAATTTACTTTTACATATGATATAAAAAGTTAATACTTATTTATTAGTTATTAAAAGTTCTTTTATGTAGCATATGTGTTTTCATAGTAATACAACAGATTTGTTTATTACTATCATAACACATATGCTAAAAAAAATCTTTTAATAACTAATAAATAAGTATTAATTTTTTTATGTCATATCTAAAAGTACATTTATCGCAAATAATATGGTGCATAACTATCTCATAAACATAATAGTCTCATATAACAAATTTCTATACTTCAACAATATACTCTATTAATTTATATGCTTCTTTATACCAAAGGGCAAAATGGACTTTTTCATAAGAATTTAACGGTCAACTAACGGTCAACTAGCGGAAAGGGCATGGAAGGGATCCAAACTAAAATTCAGGAGTATGTAAGGGATTGAGAAAAATTCAGGGGTACAGAAGGAATTAGGTGAACTTTTAGGGGTACACAGGGGATTTTCTCACAATGTAATGGATGTATGCACTAACAGAACTAACAGATGCCTAACGGTAGGGACATGGGAGGGAACACAACAAAATCTCGAGGGCACACAGGGGATTGGTCAAAATTGGAGGGCATGGAAGGGATTGAGTCAGTTTTGAGGTGCATACAGGGAATTTACTCCTCCATCTGTTGTATTGATCTTATGTGGACTTCCTTGCACCTATAGAAAGCCATAGTGTAGCCTCCCATCTCATGGGTATGTTGTTCTGACCATCGCACCATTGTTGCTGCTGGAGCTGCCCTGACTTCGCTAGCCCAAATAGAAAGCTCGGTGAGCCTCCTACAACCCTCATGGTGGTCTTGAGATAGTGAAAGTGAAAACAAGTGGTTCTTATTTGAATACAGTTCAGGAACTACTACCAATGTATAACCCCACAGACATGGACATACCTCGGTAGGAATACCACATACCTGTTATGTGCAGAGACAATACTCAAACAAGAATAGAGTACGTCTACAACAAATAAGTAATAAGTCCTTGATAAGGATATGAGACCTAGTCCAACATAAGCCCTACCATGATTGCTCTTATTCTATCATAACATTTTCCCCAATTTCTATACCGCTACCACGATAGAAGGTTGAGCCTATTCAGATGTCAATACAAAACCAGACAACTAGAGCAGAGAAGTCGAGTCGTCAACCACAGGACAACTCGCTACAAGTTTCCAATAAGTGGATCCCGACAAGATAGTTGGTTAGATATTTACTAGAGCTTTTGCTTCACATGTCTTGTGCTTTGTACACATCCATATACATATAAACACAAAAAATAGAATGTTAGTTTATTACCCTAAGGAGGCCCTAAACATGTAAAAAGAACATAGTCTCAACATGCATATGTGAGGGCCAACGAAACCAAACTCTGACACCACCCCAAGTATACACTACTAGAGTCATAAGTTTAGTAGATGACAAAAACCTTATTTATCGAAGGTTCCAAACGAAGTAAAACTTAATTATGGATAAACAGATACGCAGGATCGAACAATAATAACTAAGCCTACAAGAAGGAGGGTGAATGGTAGGAACACCAAAAATCGAAAACTTTTAGTGGAATTAAAAGAAAAATGCAATGCGACTTGTTTTATTTCATACGAAAAGCACAAGCGCTTCCATCACAATTTATTAATCACAATGGTTGAATTATCACAAATTATAATCACCTCTTGATCGATATCAAATCAACATATATCATTGCAACCAATCATATCATTCGTGACCCACTACCAACAGTGTTGCGATTCATCTCAGGCCAGAGAAATGCTGCTACAGTACTACAGTCCCTCGCCATGCATGTGCCGTCAGATGTCCAGCTGGTGATTCCATCCAGCCGTCCACACGGTCATCGCTCCATCCCTCCATCCCCTCCGTCCTCGCTATATTTAGTCCACGCAATCACCACACCAGCCACCGCCTAGACATCCTCGCTGCCTCCCTGCCAAAAATCCCCAAATCCTCCTCTTCTCGCCGCCGCCGCCGCGCTGTCTTCCTCCCGCCACGCCGCAGCGCCGCCTTCCTCCCGCGACGCCCGGCCGGCGCCGTCTTCGTCCCGCGGCGCCCGGACGGCGCCGTCTTCGTCCCGCGGGTCCCGGCCGTCGCCGCCGCGCCGTCTTCCTCACGCGGCGCCCGGCAGTCGCCGCCACGCCGTCTCCCTCCGCGACGCCCGACCGTCGCCGCCGGCACCGCCTTTTGCGGATTCATTCCTTTGGCCCGTCGCTGCCGGAGCTCGGTGACTGTGGCGGCTACGAAGCACGGCGCCACCACCACTATCCCGATCTGCCTCTCTGTCCCCTTACCCAAGTTCTCAAGTTAATTCGTGAAATGATAACAAAGAATATAGCTCTTGATTCAAAAATCATTTCGACTATTGCCACTTCTTTGGTTGCAAGCAATGAAGGCAAAGCATTGTTGCAGGTCTTGCCTGATTTCAGTGCAGAAATATCGAAAAGCGACATCAATTCACCCCCGGAGTTATTGAAAATGTTGCATAATGTGTGTCCCCAAACAACTTGAACCTGGCGTTGCTTTGTGAGTCTCATTCAGGAGCTTTGCTTGCAGGTAGCACTCAGTTCATATCTGAGATCTAATACATGTTCCTTTGTTCATGGTCGGCCTATAATTTGTGCTCTCCATTCCCAAGGCATACTCTATATCACGCGAATGTCTATGAAGTGTTCTACAGCAAACTCTTAATCTCACATAGAACGATCAGTTTATACTCTATTACTTTTTTTTTGGTTGTTAGCTGTAGAAAATGAATCACATTACCTATTTAAAATTTTTAGCCATTGGACCACTTATATATACATTTCTTTACAGCTATTTGCATTATGGGTTACTGCATGCTAGACCAGAGGTCTTAAAAGCCAGCAATGGCAGAGGTTACAGCTGCTGTACATTGGGGGGACATCAAGGTATTGGCACCATACTTGCTTCTTTCATGTTTTGCTGCTAAAATAGCTCCCTACCATGGCCAGCCTATTCGTAAATATTCAATCAATTTTATCATTGTCTTATTGTCTTATGCTCTATTTCGTCGGCTATGAGAGTATATTTACTGCCGCTTAATTTATCAATCTGTTAGTGCTTCTAGCCAAATATTGCATATGTATATACTTTCCTTTAGATATATTGTATCCTGTGTATATGTGTACTAAAGCTATATTGCATTGGATTATTATTGTTTCAGCAAGGCCTTGTCACTCTTCATTGAGCTTTCACACGATGTCATGCTCTTCTGGGCCATCGACAACTACATCACAGCATAAACGAAAGGAGCCTTTGCCGGACTCTCCAGCTTCAGGTTAGTGTGCTAGCTATAAGCTGCAGACAATATATTCATATATGTTTTCCACAGGTCCCATTCTGTTTGTGTTTACATGTTCAGTCCTATCTCCACTAAGGTTTGTCAAATTCACTTTCTTCCTGCTGTATTGTATCGCCTACAAACTATTTTTCATATAATCTTGCCATACGCTTAATTACATGCATATTCTACGTCCTTGCCTCACATAAGCAACTTTGTTTTGGTACATATGGCCCCGTGCCTCTATGAGCAGCTCAGTTTATTACTAGAGCAAATATGTGCAGTGTGATTTTCCTTTTTCTTAAATACCTAGATTCATATGCCCATCATGCTATATCAACATTTCTAGCGTACACAACAACACACTGCATATTTCATTTCATTTATTTTTCTCACAAAAATGCTCTTGCTTCACATGGGAGGCTTCATTTGCTAATTCTTCTCCTTTTATTCATACTTCAGGTTCAAGGCTTGTAGGTTCCAGCTGCATGGCAATTGCTCTTTGGTGTTCCTCTACCTGTTATTTCCTGGTATTATTTCAGTTATTTTAGTAGTTCCTTGGGAATTCTTATTTGTTGTCTAATCTTTATCTCCGTATACATGATCATCATTTAATTGTACTGGTAAACATCATTCCCTACTCTATTTTTTATTGCACCAAGTAGTATGCATAAACTGTTATTCAGTTAAACTATAGCATATATTTTTGTATGTGTCTATGTATATATATATATTTGGCAGTTTCTCACTAGCCATTTTCGTTCTCTGGGATTGCAAAGAGCACAATAAGAGGCAAGCATTGGACCTTAACTAACAGGATAACCAAATATTGTGATAGCATTTTAATGGTTTGTTCCATATTTTGTAAATCATGGATTTATGGTTTGATACACGTTTTCATTGATTCTTCTACGACCACCAGCCAGGTAATTTCAAGCTATTATATATATACTGATGCTACATATTACTCAACATGATTTACAAAATTAGAAACTGTTTCATTCCGTTGAAAATATATTTTTAACAGTTACGTGGGATATGCATGGTGTTCATTATTTTATATATCATGTACTAAGAACATATTGATGCTCTTCATCAAGGTTAAAAGGTGGATCTACTTCCCTTTTTCTTTTATTGGTGGCTAAAGTAGATTGATGCTAATTATTGACAAGCTGGCAAGAATATTGAACTCTCATATCTGCAGAACTGGCTACAAATTCATAGGTTCTGGATCATGGAGAAGTAAACCTTGATTTCTATTTGTTTTTTTTTCATGGCCGTCTTAGTATAGATTGTAAAATATGTACAATATAAGTTGCAATTACTACCTGTGATGTGCTGACACAGTTTTGATTGACTATCCTTCCAATTAATCATCGCCCCATTGGTCTTCCTGGGTACAGCTAGGTATTGAAATACAAATGTTGTTTATTTTACTCACGTTGTTGTAATTGTACTATGCACCGAGATACCCATTGTTAGTGTAACATTGATTATAAAAAAATTATGGTACGATTACATCAATCAAAATTTAGAACATCGTGATATTCTATCGTGATATTCTTTTTCTGATCGAGTTGTTGTTGTATAGCACTGTTGCAAGCTATGTTGTTTTCAATCATGCTTTTTTTTTCTTTTATGATTAAAGATCTTGGATGATGCCCGCGCATCGCGCGGGGGGGCACGGCTAGTTTATAATGTCAACGGGACAGCAGACGGCGTGCGCCCACGCTTTTGTCGTCCCACGTGCCGCAGCAGCACGTGTCATAGTAGTCGGAGGGTGGGAAGCTGAGCTTGCATGTCACTTGTGGGTTATGTACACCCAGCTTGATGCAGTAGTCGTTGCATGCTGGAAGAGTGCATCTATATACGGTGTAGCACTTGTCTGCAACTGTAATATCAATAGCATCAGCAGTGACGAATCCACAACAAAACTTACAGGGATCCTCTAAATTTTTATGTAATATATTATTACGATTAATGTGACCTAAAACACCTAGAGGTGCTCAGTACACCGAGTAGTTACGTGTAGTAATGCCACTAAATCAGTATGTTATATATTTGCGTATAAATGCATGCATAGGCTGAAACAAAATTTTATGCCTGTAAATAGGATAAATAAGTGTTGGAGTACGTTTTATACATAGATATAAGAAATAAATTAATGGTGCATAAAAAGACTCCATTATTTTTAAATTGAGTATCATTGTGTTTGAATATAAGATGTTTGTAGTATTTACAGTTTTGTGTATTATTAGAAATTAGTGCAAGATAGAAATCTGAAGAGAATAGATTATTGTACCTTCTGCGTTACAAGGTGAGAAGATCATCGCCATGACTGCAATGGCTGTAAGTAAGAGAACCCTAGCATCCTTCTTGAGATGCGCCATGGGAGGAGATATATATAATGATGCAAAGGCCAAAGCAAACCTTATTATGTTTTGGTGTGGGGGTTGAAACATATGCCTTTGTGGGCGTGTTTATATAGAGTTAGAAGGCTGAACCAAATTGGGTAGTTATTAATATTCTATCTACTCAATTGTTTTCTAAAAGAATTTTCTACTCAATTATCGTTTTATTTATCTTCCAACTGTCATTCATTAGTTGGATATATTCCTTTTCTGTCAGAATGTATTTATTTTTTCTAATTTGGTTTTTAGATGAATGGATAGTTGTGGTAGCAGAAGTGGATTAGGCCACTAGGGTAAGGCGATAAATGTGTGCAGATGCAACATTTGAATAATATCCCCTTTGGTGCTTGTTTGGAGAGTCCTAATTAAGTCGCAGACCATCCAAGGATAAGTACGTCTTTATCTCTTCTACTTTAAAACAAAATCTGGCAGTAACGACCAATGCAAATCTACTCATTGTTAAAAGGGTTAAGTTTGAATATTTTTCCCCCTCAACTACCACAAAAGTTCAATTTACTGTCATACCAGAAACTCTACACTCTCTTTTCCTCTATACTCTCTCTTCTCTCGCCTCCTCTTGTGTGGCCTTCCCCTCCATTGGCCATGAGCCCACCTCACCGCCAGTTGCACAACCATGCCCCCAGGTCCTACACGTACAAGTTCAACCGCTTACCATCAAGCGTCCTCCACGAGCTTCCCTTGCGGCTCCAGCCTCTGTGAGTTGGCGCTGCCATAAGAGAGAAGCAAATTGCGGAGTCAAATCTAGGTGGAGGCAAACCTTGACGAGGCGGTAGCACTCTAGGATAGCATGGGGGCCTAGTGAAGCTAGAGGTCAACGACGAAACCGTGGCAGCAGTGAGCATGCGTGCATCTGTCGCACCACGATGACTTCGACCTCACGCCATTGCGCCCCCCTCCCCCACCACCACCACCCCCGCCCGCCCTCCCCCCCCCCCCCCCCCCCCGAACTCACCTATGAAGATCAATGAGGATTGCGATGGTGATGACGATGATGCGGACGCTGCCTCTTGGCCAACATTGAAGATGGCGGTGTCACCTGTGTGCTGGAAAAGATAAGGTGGCCATAGCAATCACCACAACCACATGTTACCGTCTCACCTCGTCTACCATCCTCAAATCCGTTCTCATTCCCCCCCTCTCTCTCTCTCTATCTCTCTCTGTCTCATACTTTAGCCTCATTCATAACCGCCGATGAGCTCCCCCCTTGTAACATACCCGAAATTTTAGGACTTAAAAATTTCTAGACAAAATAGATATAGGCAAACTTTTACAATTTTGAGAGCCAAAAATTTCCGTTTTAACTTAGGTGAGACCAATCTAAACCATTGCATAAATAAAATTTGACAACAAAATAAAACCTTTTCATTCCTAACATTAGACCATAAATTCCACCAAGCAAATGAGCATACATGTGCATAATGCATGCCTTGACTCGAGTCCCTTGTGCATTTGGATTTTGGTCTCGCATTTTACAATAGGTCCCATGAGCATAACTTAAAAGGGTTAAATTACTAAATAAACTTATAGTTAATCTTGGGTGATAATATGTGGACATAATATTTACTCAAATATCATCTTCTCAGTTCGAAAGAAGTTTAAAGTAATTCCTATAATAATATTAGATGCAATTATGAAGAGGGAACTCATATACAAAGAAAAGGTCATCCTAATTCTCTAAAATATTTTGTACAAGATAAAATCATGGGAAAATTTATGTAGACAATGATTAGCACAAACTATTCACTGTAATTTTGGTCAGATATTAACACTCAAGTTGATACCTCAAATAAATTAATCAAAACAGTCACATAGTAGACTAATTAAAATCCTTTATTGGCTAAAACCATACTTCACCCAAAAGTGAATTAAAATGCATAAAAGTATATGAGGTAAATAATTTATATAAATACTATATTATTTATCATATCTCAATATAATTTTTCTAGAATTTTATTCCTCTGTTTAAGCCTCCTCAAAATTCAATCTAGCTCTTAGATAACCGATCTTTGTTTAATTTCTGTGATCAATCTATCCATAATTTTTAAGTGCAACCAAAAAAAATGGCAACTAAGTATAAACATCTACTTCCAGTAAAATCAACACTACTTAATCTGATCCACACATTAAGCTATGAAGCTACAAAGTTAGAGGAGAAAATAATTCCGAAAATTCATCCAAAATCAAGTTTACCCATGTATTTACCCACACCTCTCCCTTCCACCTACTAGTATACTTCGTCCTTGCCCCACCTGACAGCCACTAGAGCTAGCTCTAGCTCTGTCAAACCACTTCTCCACCGCTCCAGCCGATTGAACAGACGAGAGAGAGAGAGAGATCGTTGGCGGAGGGAGTGCTCGACGCGTGGAGCTGACGTGCCGACGCCGAGTTTCACCTTCAACTCCGCCAACTCAGTCGCCCTTCACCATTCAACACTCTAGAGCCGAAGAAGCCGAGGGAGAAAGGCCCTCTGCCTCTCTGTCATCCTCATTCTCGCCGGCGGCCGTGGAGACGACGACCGTCGCCATCGCCATCGTGCCGCGGTCGTCTCGACTCCTTTCCCGATCTGAAACCTCCTATCAATGCCATATCCATTCCACCTAATCTCTCCTCTTGACATGCAGTGGTGACGCCGGAACGCGACCGTGCCCACGGGAGCTTCGGAACGCCGCCGCTTCGGCATCATCGTCGCCCGACCACCCTAGTCCATCCCGGAGCAAGCCGCTGCGCCATCGTCATCGGCTCGACCCCAGGAGCCTGTACACTGAGATCACCGATTTCTTCCCCAACTCCGGCCGCCAACGTCGATCTTCGATTCCTGCCGCTCCGGTGAGCCATTGTTCGATTCCTCGCGCAGACACCATCTCTATGACCTCACAGCCCTCGTGCATGCCTACTTTTAGCAGCTCGTCGTACCGTTCGAGCCGTCGCCGTTCACCTGAGGAGGAGCGCCGTCGCCGAGCCGTTCCGCAAGTCGACGCTGCTGCCAAGACCTCGACAACCCTAGCTTGACCCACGGTGAGCACCCTGTAGTCTTGAAGACCTCATGCATGCTTTGCATTCGCTTCTAAACGACCTCCATGCACACATGCACCACCACCCCGAGAACCACCGCCGCTCGCACCGCCGTCACCATTGATTCCGACCACCTCTAACCTTGAGACAACCACGGATAGATGCGCAAGAAGCTTAGGAAAATCTTCTCTTTTGGTCACATCACGAGATCGGCCGCCGTTCATCGCCGGCGCAGGCGAGGAGCTCGCCAAGCCGCCGCTGCTCTGTCTGCCCTGTCTCTCCCAGGCGCTGACTCGCTGACGAATGGGCCCCACGTCATTAGGCGCTAGGGATCTCGTTTAGATATTTTAAAACATGTAAGGTTTAAAATGTAAAATATGTTAGATTGACATGTGGGACCAAGAATCTATTAGTAAAAACTGTAAAACTCGAGGATTCCTAATAAATTTGGTTAAAACACGTTCTAGGGACCTCACGATCTAATCTCTGGAACCCTAGAGGCCTTTTTGCATATTGATCTCTCACTAACAGGTGGACCCATCCCTTCTAAAATCTGAGAATATAAAAGAAAAACACTTAAAACATTATATTTTCAACAGAAAAACACTCAAAGTTGAAAATTCATATAAAATCAAATATAACTCATTTTGAGATGATTCCAGTCGCTATAGATTCACAAAGTTATGAAATTTAATTTAGAAATATAAAACTTGACACTCACTGTTCAAACTTTGTCTCAAAAATTTGTCTAAGGTAAAGCATACGTAACACATACACAAACTTATAAAATGCATAGAAAATTTAATTTAACTTGTTTTGGGACAAACTCAAATTCTACAAATTCATCATCATGCACTCTCTGGTTAGCTGAAATAAAAGTAATCACTTGCTTTGTATCAAATGCCTCTAAAACTATTATCTTTAAAATGACTAGTTTTAGATAAGCTAAACTTTATAAATTCATACAAAATTCAACTTAGCTTTAATTTGAGTAAACTTAAGTTCTGTAGGATCACCAAAACATGTATTTCCAATTGGTAAAATAAAAATATATATTTTTTTATAATAAAAGCCTCTAAATATTTATGTAAGGAA